GTGGCCATTTTGAAACCACCGATCAGCTGTTAGAAAAATGTCGTTTTGCAAAGAATCGGTTCCCAAAGCAGGGAACTGATCATCGCAAAGCGAAATTCCCCCATTCAAACCATCGTTATGCAATTGCAAAAAGATTGTTGTAAAGCGGTTTCATCGTAATGTGGGGCAATCGTAAAGCGAGGCAACACTGTATGTCCAGTGCTTAGATTATGCTTCAAACTTTGAAGAAAATCCTTTTAGTGAACATACAGTAAAAGCTGGGAGAAGTTTGATCTTGATTCTTGCAGAAACAAAAAGAGCTCACTGGATAGACATTATAACAGCTTGGTATGGCAAGAAGCAGCCAGAAAGCTTGGAGTCTACTGAAAAGACTGAACAATGAATAATTCTGACAAAAAGATACTGTATGTAAATATAACCCCCAGCCAAATAGCACACCAAGTGCTCCTGGTAGGGAAGACCAACCAACACACCATAAAAACAAAACATCAAAGGGATATTCAGACTGAATCTAATGAACTTCCTATTCCCTTCGTAATGGTGGGACTAGAGGAAACCATAAGAAGATGTAGGAATGGCAAAGCGGTGGGACTCAATGATATCCAAATTGAGCAAATTAAACATGTTGGGCAAAACACATAAGAATGGCTGCTTCAACTGTTTAATAACTGCCAGATGAGCAAACAAATACAATAAATATAGTGGAAGATGAAAGTAATCGCTATCCTGAAATCAGGCAAAGAACCATCAGACCTCAAAGCTACAGGCCAATCTCCCTACTATGGCACTGATACAAAATGTTTGAACAAATGATATTGTTGTAGAAATGCTGTTTGTTATCCTCTGACAGGTCTGAATTTGCCTTTAAGAGGGGAGAGAAAAACACCATGCACCCACATATATATTCCACACGGAATATATATTATTACTCTGAAGAATAAGGAGAACATAAGAGAAAAGTCTCCAAAGCTTATGTCGCTCTGAACACAATATTTCTTACAGTTTATATAGGATTTCAGTCATGTGCACTCATTGACAATAGCTGATTTATTAATATGTTCAGTTACTATGATCAAAGCTAAATTATATTATTGCTATTATTTATTTATTTGATCACTATACTGCCCATCTGGCAGCCAGGGCCATATTGTGCTATCCATTCTGGTGCTCTTTGATGTTTACCCAAATGTCTCCTCCTTTTTGCTGAGACATACAATATCATGCTTCCTCCAGGTGTCCTATCTCAAGGCCATGGATTCCTCCATATCATATCCTTCATTCTTCTGTTCTTATCCTCCCATGCAATGTACTTTGGGATGGTTACCATCCAAAGAGTTCATGGTCTATAGTAAAGGCCCCAGAGATAGCTTGATTTTGCTGACTCTGTGAGACAAGACCTTACTAGCATAAGCATTTCCGTACTTACCTACTATAAAAACTATGATTTTTGCTACAGTGTTAAACAGTCAGAATAGGCAACCTTTAGACCTAGTAAGAGCTGTATGGCTCAAATTTTAAATCTAACCCACATATGGTTAGATCTTGAATAGAGATGGGCTTGAATCTCAGTTTGGATATTCATGCTAGATCATGATCCTTCCCTGCCCCCAGCCAGATCTCCCACTCACCAGCTAGCCTGCTCTACTCTTCTCCTTTTTGGGCATTTGACCAGTCCCAGCAGGAGTGTGTGCTTCACTCCTCTACCTCCTCCAGCAGCTGCCCACTCAGACAAGGAGACAGATCAAGGATTCCTGCAGCACTGCCTTTGAGTGGGCAACTGCTGGAGGAGGCAAAGGAGGGAAGTCCCTGGTGTGACTGGACAAACCAAACTCATCCATTTCATGGACACCACCCCTCTGACAGCTAAAACTGAGGAAATGTTTTCTGCACACATCGCAAACTCTATTATTATTATTTATTTATTTGATTTATATCCCGCCCATCTGGTCATATCGACCACTATACAGTATTAAACTTGAAGAGGCTAGGCTAAATCTATGAAGAACAAAACCAGCAAACCTTTGTGAATGAATGGATTCTGAATAGTGTCTCCCACCAGGACAAGATTCTGTCTGGACCATCTGGAAGTCACTTAATGGATTTCAAAGTGAAGTAAGAAGATCAAAGAATAGTCAAGTAAAATGGGACTACTTGGATACAGGACAAATTGTCTGTGACTGTGGAGTACGTAAATTAATGCAGCACTTGTGTGCATTTTAATTTGTTTTTAATTTTGCCTATGTTCCATATGGTGGGGACGTGGTGGCACTGCGGGCTAAACCGCAGAAGCCTCTGTGCTGCAGGGTCAGAAGACCAAGCAGACGTAAGATCAAATCCACGCGACGGAGTGAGCGCCCGTCGCTTGTCCCAGCTCCCGCCAACCTAGCGGTTCGAAAGCATGCAAATGCAAGTAGATAAATAGGGACCACCTTGGTGGGAAGGTAACAGCGTTCCGTGTCTAAGTCGCACTGGCCATGTGACCACGGAAGATTGTCTTCGGACAAACGCTGGCTCTATGGCTTGGAAACGGGGATGAGCACTGCCCCCTAGAGTCGAACACGACTGGACAAAAATTGTCAAGGGGAACCTTAACCTT